TTGGAAAAGCTTGCGAGCTTTGTCCACCTTCTTCCTCTCATCTCCTCTGAAAATCTTGCGAGCTCTTTCCACCCTTCTTCTCGGGCTTCTAATCTCTTTCGTCTCTCCGCAAGTTTACACCTCACATGTATCCCTCTTCTATAAGTGAAGCAAGTTTAGGATGTCTTTTTTTATTTCAAGTCTATTTTGTAAGTGTCAAATTTATGAAATCGTCATTTGTAGTTTTTAATTTCTGCTTATTAGTCTTTCTTGAAATGTAAGAGTTTGCTCGCTCCCTATTTGCGAGCAAGTTTCGTCGTAGTCTTTTTACATTGCCGGCGAAGGTCCTCGGGTCCCCCATCCCCCGGATTTTTGCCCGCATTGGAGTGTGAAGTTTCTGATATAGGCGCTTTACTGTAGCCGAGTATAGAGGCCTGGAAAGAGGATTTGATTGAGATGAGTGACAATATGTTTGTTTGATGAAGAACATCCTAGTTGCCTAGCATAGGGACAGCTGTCTAATGGAGTATTAATACAATTGCTGGTAGCAACTCAACTGCTCAGGTGGGGTCCAATACCTCCTTTATCATCTATAGGAGAAGAGGCTTTAAGGGGAAACTCTTAGGGAAATATGTTAGGGGCATTTATTAAGGGATTTGAGCTATTTAAGGGGGAGATTGTGGAGGGTTAAGGTTCATATTGAGTTTTGTTTTCTGCATCTGTTTTTGTTGGGTGTTTGGGTTCGTATTGGCTATTAGGAATTGTGTGAGAGATGACTCACCTCTTGAATAGTAAATCAACTTGTATCTTATCTTTCGTTGCTCGGAAATTAGTAAATACAACACTCTTGGTGTTATTTCTTAATCTGTTTGGTGTAAGTTGTTGTTTTTTTTATTATTGTGTGCTGTTTTGATCAAGTCCTATCAATTCTAAGAGGAGATGGACCTGTAGCTGGCGAGTCATATGACTAGGTTGGCAAATGGCATAGGAAGCTTGAGTAATCTTGTCATTAAAGGAGAGTAGTGGTGTTTTTGGAATGAAGAGTTCCTGAGCTTGTTAGTGGTTGTTGACAGGAGTATAGAGGCCTGGAAGGAGGAAGATTTGATTGAGATGCGTGACGATCTGTTTGTTTGATGAAGAACTTCCTAGTTTCCTAGCATATGGACATCTCTCTAGCGGATGTGGCACCATCGTTCTCCTTGGGCAGTTTCCTCTCTAGTTTCGTGTGAGTCCTTTAAGGGATCTTTTCCTAAGAGTGAAGACCCTCGTCACGACTTTATTGCTATCTATTAAATCACCTAAGAATGCGATTATGGGTATACACATTAAACTTGCTTATATCATCAAAATATCCTAAATCTTAAAAATTTACTTGCATGCAAATAGCAGTTCAATAAAGTTTTAAGAATCAACAAATATTAGGCTTAAGAATAATCTGCTCTCTTTATTAGAGATTGAATCTTACCATAATTAGAGATCATACTCGAGATGGATTTCCTTATTTTTATCTTCTTGAAGTATTGTTCTTTTGTAAACTACCAATTAAAATATAAGTTTCAATTTATATCAATTCGATATTTAACATTACAATTATGACTCAAATAACCTCAGAAAGATATTTTTAGCTTGAAATGATTTCTCATAATTCAAGCCTTCAAATCTGTCAACCCAAAATCAAACTCGATTTGCGGAGAGAAATTCAATAAATTGAACATTACATTATAATCCCTAGCTTTCCCATTTCTTCTTCTCATATTCATTTTCTCTCTTCTTCTATTGATACCCTCTTCTATTCTTCCGTTAGCCAAACCCTTCTCCAGCTCTCTATTTCGCCCAGCTGATGGGATTACGGGAAAGGAAGTAAGATGAAATGCTAATCACTTTCACTTAAGTTAATATATAAGTAATTATATAAACTATTAGCCTTTAAAACCATCCCAATCATACGATCAAAGCATCAGTTGTTGCATGCGTCTTTTACTGGATTTGCAAAAGTGTTAAATCTCAGCCCCTAATTCCTGTATGAATCCAACTGTGTAGGATAGATATCCGTGGAAAGCATTGGGTACTTACCATAGCTAGACATCTGATTTAGGAAGGATTATATTACAACAATTATTCATTTTTTGTAGTTATGTGTTTCCTTAGTAAGACCTCTTGTATAGATCTATAAAAAGATCAATGATGTTGTATAATAAAGTTATGGTTTTTCTCTCAAATCTCTTGATTTTAACAACTAGTTTATTAAATGATCAAGAATGCGCTCTAATTAAGCTCAGCCACTTATAGTTTGTTTAGCGTATTAGTTATTTTGCAGCTCTAGTTAAGAGGTTTGAGATTTGTGGTTGTCCCTTGTTTTATGCAAGTGAGCTTTCTTTTTTACATTTCATCATAATTGTTATTTTGTGCTTTTTCCATATAATGTATCTTGCTTGCTATCATGATTCATGATGCTAAAGAGATTTACTTATTTATAAAATTGAGTGCATGTTGAGTGCCAAACACTTTCTTATCCATTAGGTCATCAATGAATGAATACTGACACATTTCAAAGAAAAATAATTTTTTGTTTTCTATCCTAGTTATTTACTGTAGGAGTCGTACTAGAAATGGTGTAGGTGTTATTATAGATAAGAGTTTAAAGGATAATGTTATAAAAATTAATAGGATTGTAGATAGAATTATAGCTTTAAAGATTGTTGTTGATGATAAGATTGTTAATATTATAAGTGCTTATGCTCCTCAAGTAGGTTTGGATATGAGCTCTAAATTAAATTTTTGGAATGACTTAGAAGAATTAATACAAAAGATACCGAAGAAAGAGTTTTTATTGGAGGAGATTTAAAGGGACATGTTGGTAGAGAGGTAGATGATTTTAAAAGCAATATTCATGGTGATCATGGATTTGGAACGACGAATGTAGGTGTCAATATCATATTAGATTTTTGTTTAGCTTATGATTTTTCAATTGCTAATACCTTATTTAAGAAAAGGAATGAGCATCTCATCACTTATAAAAATGGAAATAGTACAACCCAGATTGACTATTTTCTTATTAGAAAATTAAATCGTTTAGATTGCAAAGATTGTAAAGTTATTCCGAGTGAAAATTTATGTACCCAACATCGATTATTAGTTTTGGACTTTAAGATAAAGGGGCATAAAATAAAAAATAAAGTAAAACAATTTTCTAGGATTAAATGGGGGCATTTAAAGAATATTAACAAAAATATTTTTGGAGATAAGATTTTAGATCGTAAGATTCTGTCTGTGCATGAGGATGCTAATATTATGTGGGAAAAAGTGGCTAGTGATATTAAGAATATTGCAAAAGATGTCCTTGGAGTATCAAAGGGAAAAGCTCCTAATAGTAAAAATAGTTGGTGGTGGAATCCTAATGTGCAAGAAAAAATTAAAAATAAGAAGCTTTGTTATAAAAACTGGTTTAATTTTAAAAATTCTGATAATTGGGAAATATATAAAGTGGCTCGTAAGGATGCTAAGAAAGCAATATGCGATGCAAAGGCATTAGCTTTTAGTGATTTATATAATAGATTAGATACTAAAGAGGGAGAAAGATATATGTATAAGTTAGCCAAACAAAGAGATAGGAGTAGTAAGGATTTAGTTCAAGTGAAGTGTATTAAAGATGAAGATCAAAAAATACTTTTCTTAGAAGATGATATTCAACAAAGATGGATGAGATATTTTGCTAAACTTTTTAATGAAGACTGTGAAAATAAGATTGACTATAGTGACCTTAGCACCCTAAATGAAAATAAAGATTTATGTTTTTATCGGCGTATTAGTAAAACTGAAATTAGAGAGGCTTTAAAGAAAATGAAGGGTGGAAAAGCTGTTGGACCTGATGATATTCCAATAGAGGTGTGGAAATGCTTAGGAGATGAAGGAATTTCATGGCTTACTAAACTTTTTAATACTATTTTGAAGACTAAAAAGATGCCAGATGAGTGGAGAATGAGTATGTTAATTCCTATTTTTAAGAATAAAGGTGATGCACAAGATTGTGCGAATTATAGAGGTATTAAGTTAATGTGTCATACTTTAAAACTATGGGAGCGAGTTATGGAGCATAGGTTGCGGCGTGATACTAATGTTTCTCAAAATCAATTTGGATTCATGCCGGGTAGGTCGACTATGGAAGCCATACATTTATTAAGAGGTTTGATGGAGAAATATAGAGAAAATAAGGAGGATCTACATATGATATTTATTGATTTAGAAAAAGCATATGATAAAGTTCCAAGAGAAGTGCTATGGAGAGTTCTTAAAAAGAAAGGAGTCAATAATGCTTATATTCAAATCATTAAAGATATGTATGCAGGAGCTATTACATGTGTTCAAACACAAGGTGGCTATCACAATCCTCTTTTAACAAAGAAAGAAAAGGAGGAAACTTATTAAAACTTAGATCATCCAAAAAAAATCACCAAGTAAAGCAAAGTTAGCACAAAAATCGGCTAACTTATTACATTTTCTATGAGAAAAATGAAATAAAAAATTCTCAAAATCTTTCAAAAAAGATAAGTCTTCCGCCATGTCATTATCCATTTTTCCAAATGCTTTATCAACCGAACCTTGCAGATACTTGACAACATTGTAATTGTCTCCCTCAATTATAATCCCTTTGACTTCCATCATCCATTCTTGTAGTATCATTTTCAAAGATCGAAAAGCCAAAAGCTTTGATGGTTTGGTCACATAAAAAGGCGGCCTTCTGATGACCCGGTTAGTAGAGTAGAGGTATTACATTTGATTTATGTTAAGAAAGGTAGGGGTAGACCTAAAAAGACTTGGTTAGAAAATATTAGGAATGACCTTTCTTTATTAGATTTAAACGAGAATTTGACTTTTAATAGGACACAATGGAAAAAAAGGATTCATGTAGCCGACCCCACATAGTGGGATAAAGGCTTGATGTTGTTGTTGTTGTTGTTGTTGTATCCTAGTTATTTACTGTATAAACATTTCTTATAGTAATCATTTCTGGTGTTTTTTAGGTAGAGAGCATCGATCCTGGTTCAATGGCTTCATCTATCAAAGGGCCTGTTATTCTTGCCGTCAAAAAAGCCAATGGTGATGAGGAGGTTATAGACACATCCAACCTAACTAATGGATTACATTTTCCATGCTTGTGACTACAATTTGTTGGGATCCATTTTTAACATGTCTTTTTTTTATTTATCATATTCTGACAGGTTAAGGCTGCTGGGAGTAATATTGTAGGGGTTATTCTAGCACAAGAGCTACCTCACTTATCACACCTTGGTGTTAGGGCCCGACAGGTTCGCTTTATTGTGCACTTCTAAGCTACTGTGGGTTCTTTGATAAAAATTGTTAATGTAGTGTATTCTCCCTTGCGTAGGAAAAGGTGGTTTTTGTGACATGTGAAGATGAAGAAGAAATTGCTAAGTTTGAAGCACTGGAAGGAAAATCTGTGAGGTTATATATATACTTGAAAAACTAACCTTTGTTAGCATACCCGCTGTTTTTTAGACTCAGTTTAAACTAATTTGTTAAAAAATACTTTATCCGTTACTTTGTTCAATTGCTAGATTTTTTTCTTGTATTTTTACCCAAAATTGAAGGGCCTTGCCGTTTTAATTGAATATTTCTGTTGGGATCATAAAGACCCCATTTGATTGAGCACAATTTTAATGCAAAACGCAAATCTCAAGGCATTTCAGAAGCTAAATTAACTGTTCGAACTTGCACAAAAATCAAATGAGCTCGAAATGATGCAAAAGCTTATTTAGATGAACTTGTCAACACAAGAATTGCCTAGTTTTTATAAAATTTCAAAATTGTTAGATCAGTTCATGGCAAATTAGTTGGATTTCCAGTTGGGTTACTCTTCGTAACACGCCACGATACCTCTTATTTATAACGCAGAGTGTCACAAAAATAAACATAAGATTCATAATTTTTAACATCTAATATTTTCATCATTTGAATACTTATTTATTTTCTATCCATTAAACAATACATTTCCTAAATAAACAGAAGCATCTAAATTTAATTATTCCCAATATCGTTATAAAAATAATTACAGAGCCACTAATAAAAATCAAAATACATTACCATAATTTTATCAGATTACATATCTAACATGAGGACTCATAAAAATTGATAAACATAAACTTAAATATTCAATAACCTGAGACTACTCTGCTTCAACTTTTTTTTTTTTTTTTTTTTTTTCTGTAACAACAGATAGTATGAAAATTTGTGAGCTATTTCTTACATATATATATTTACTCCAACTACATTACCACATATGTTCTGAATTATGATTGTATTTCTCTGTGACACTTTACGTTATTGGTAGGGGTATTGCGTGGTGTTATAGTCTTCTTCCTAGAAGGCAACCTTTGTTGTTGATTGTAAGGAAGGAGATAGCAGTATCATCCCGCCATCACCGCCTCCAATGGTTAAGGAGAAGTTGAACTAAACCTTGTTTTTTTACTAATTTGGATAAGATGGATGTAAACCGTTTGTGTCGGCATCGGCTGGTTGTTGCTTTGTTAATTTGCTAAATTTTCTGCTTTCTAGAGTCACTGACCTCCACAGACTTTGTTTTGCAATTTATTTACTTGAAATCATTATTATGAAAGAGAACATTTTTGACACCAAAATAGCTAGCCTGTAAGATCCAGCATTCAGGCATGAAAACTTTAAATTTATTTAATTATACTTTTAAGAATGAATTTTAATAATAACCAATTGTTCAATTAGTGATAACAGTAATTAATATTAGTAAACTAGTTAAGTGAATAATAATGAATTTTTAAGTAATAATTTACTGTTATCTAATTTAATTAGATAAGTTCATAACTCTGAAGAGGTGCCTTCTTTAAACGTGAGTAAGAGAGTAGTTTCACCTCCAAATGATGTGGAACCACATGGGCATTTCCGTTGGATGAGAATGAAAGCAGTTATGGGTATGTGTGGGCCCTCTCTCACATTTTTTCTGTTTGGAATTCCCAAGAGCAAATGGGTTATAGGCTTGGAAAACGAAATTGGATAATGCAGCACAGGCGGACTTTGCATTTCTGTGAAGGTTCATTCGGCATAGTGTTCTTGTAGAGAAGATCAGAACAGATGTCTTTGGCATAAAGGAGTTCGGCCAAATTTCCTACAGCAGTTCTGTACAGTGCAAATTTTATTTAGTAGATTTCTGCCTAGTGCTGAAGGAATTTTCTTGAGGCTGTGAAGGAAAGGAAAACAGTAGTACAGGTAAGTGAAATGGAAGTTATCTGAAATTTGTAACCAAGATTGGGATGTGATTAATTTGAAATTGGGTGATGAATTGTAGTTTGATGTTAAGTGTGCAAACTAATTGAAGAGAGAAAGAAGAATAAGAAGTAGAAGAAAGGAGGTAAGAATTATGATGTTTGTTGTTATCTTTTGTATTACCTATTTAGTAAAGTTTCTAAAGATGATAAATTAATCGTATTGTAGGATTATTCGTATATGCAGAAGAGAGGTTTTGAGGTAAGCATAAAACAAGTTAATGTTATGAAAAATTTATTTAAGCAATAAATTATGGAATGTATGAAGTGTAAGATAAATGATTGTAGGTTACTTATAATCGAATAAGAGTGCAAGGTAGAGTTGAAAAGATGAATCATCAAGGAGGTAAGTAATGCATGTATATTTTAAATACAATGACTCTCAATTATAAGTATGGAGGTTAAATCTAGATGCATTAAAGTAAAAGGTTATCAAAAGTCGTTTAATGTATAGGAAGGATTATACCTTTAAGTTTTTAAGTATGAACAGCCAGATACATAATTTAATCAGGTAAGTATAAAATAAGGTTTAGTATGTTAATCTAAAAATTTTCCCATTTGATACTATTTTGGAAAGATGTCAATTTTCTTATATATGGTATGCATTTTAATTGTATACAGATTTGAACAGAAATGATTATAAAAGCATGCAACAACTTAATTATGACTTATTAATACTGGAAAGTTTAGTGAATATCACTTTAAAAGTAAAATTTGGCTATAAATGATGTATAGCTTACAAATGTAGGTGGGGTTCCCATATCTAAGACTACATTGTAAGTAGGACAAAAGGGACCACAGAGATTATGATTCCTGCATAGCAGGTGGTAAAAGGGCCCCCCTAAAGAGACAAAAAAGGACCTCTAGGTAATTTAATGGCGATAATGCCAGGTTTACCTGGGCTCCATTGAATAATGTTATGAAAGTGTAGCCAAATCTTTCATAGACTAAAATTTATATTCATAGTAGGATTTAAAAGAAGTAAAATATTAATGTTAAGTATGAATTTATGATGATTTTAATGTTTGATTATTTTCAATGATTACACTTAAAATGTTAATTAATTTTCAAAGCTATTGAGCCTCATAGCTCACCGGTATATTTCTTACTAGCTGTTGTTATAGAAAAGGGGAAGGAGAAGATCGTTGAAGATTAATTTTGCAAGTTATTTCTTCTTTATGTTAATGTTATCTTTGTTAGTGAGTCTACTTTTTAGGTATGTAAATTTTCGTGTGATGTGTTACTTTGGATTTCTGTAGTGGCTCGGTAAGTATGTCTTGTTGAAGTTTAAAGTTATTACGTGCTTCCGTTAATGTGATGAATGAAAATGTTCGATTTTTTATAAAAATTTTTAGATTTTCAAAAGTATCATGTGATTGATTGATGAAAATATTTTGTTTATGATAGTAGTACTCCCAGTACTGCTAAGAGGTATTATGTGATGTTACATAGTCATTGTCTTTATTTTTCAATGATCCATAATTTAATCGAGAAATCTTTTCATTATTATTTCATCAATCCGATTGTCTGAATTTTGATCCATCACTTCCATTGAAGTTGTGGCATTAAGATCTATGAAGGTGTATATTTGATTTACCCATTCAAGATAGTTGTCAAACCATCCCTGCTCGTTCAAGTCAACTTCAATTTTGAAAGGCTATTCAAGTCAACATGGGGTAGAATAATTCTTCAAGACTTGCACCACAAAATTGCTTCCTTAGCATCTTTAAGGTTGTGCCATCTCCACCATTTGGAGGAGGATTTTTCAAACTATCCTCAGTGATCACCATGACGTTTCAACATCATGTCGTCTGCCACTGCAACGTCAATGCCTCCTTTGCCCCAAGGACCTCGCTTACTTTTTAGTGCCTCTTCATCCACTGCCCCGTTGTTGTGTCACACTCATCTCTAAGAGGAGGATAGACTCTAAAATCCTCACCTTGACTTTTTAGTGTTACTTTATTTGCCATCGCGAGGTCCTTCCACCTTTACATCCTGGAGGACTATCCCAATGCTTGAACTAATTGTGTCATCAATTTTGAGGATTCTAGTAACAACTTATATTCCATCCTTTCTCCAAGTTCAAAGAAAGTCGATTTGTAGAAGTTGTTTTGACTTAGGCCAAAAATACAGTTCTTTCTTTTCAATTTTTTTTTTTTTGAAAAAATCATGTTGTCCCTTCTCATTTTATTTTAGTTCTCTAATTGCGTGTGGTCTACGGGGAAAATTGCTATTTTTGGCAGAATTTTTTGACGGATTGTTTTTCTTTGGAAGCATCGATGGAATCTCTGTCACAAAATTGGACGGTGTAAAACTGGGAATTTTCGGCTTATATTATTGATTTGTTCACATTATCATATAGTAGAAATTACGTGGATGAATTTTGTTTCCATGAGAAAGGATTTTTTTTTCCATGAGAAATTTAGGATACTTATTACAAATTAGTTGAATATAAGAGCGTGTATAGATTTTTTAAAACAATTATTGCTGATGCATGTAAAAGTTCCTATAAAATATATATTTTTTAAATTTGGCACAATTTGATATGATGTGTGAATAGAGAGCAAATACACGAGATGTAAAAGAGGGTCGTTGATATGAACTAGAAGCGATAACATGTCGACCATTTATTATAGGACTCGTCTTCCTCATTCTTCAGTGTTATACTGCCAACATGAATAAATCTTAGAAAATATTATTTCATAAATGGATAATTCAAGGCAAGTGCAACTTGGTTAGAGCAATTCTGTTCTTCCATCTACATATAAACTGCACTTCTTTCCTTAGTCACTAGATGTCTTCTTACTATTTTTTAGTATTGTTCACGTGTAGGATTTTTTAGAACACATTTTATATGGATATTTAAAGTCAAAGTAATTGGATGTATAATCAACTATTTCTTGGACGATAGATATTAATTGATGAATTCATCAAAGGAGTCATTTTTTCCATCCAGGTGGCCTGCCAATTATCTTCTTTTATATGTGGTAGGAGATTTCATTGTCTTTGTTCATAGCACAAAAATCAAACATACCTTCCAAAAGATAAGGTTACCATTGATTTATGTCGTAGAGGATTTATGCCAGAATATTAATTTTGGACTTCACATTGTTGAGTATGAACCACATTTTGACTTTTAATATGGTTTAT